GTCGAGAATAGGAATTCCCGAAAACAATTTGATTTATTCGTCCTTGATAAGCTCTTTCGCAAGTGTCGGGGAGGTCAAGATGGCCGAGGAGCTCATGCTCGAGGCCGAGAGCAAGAACATGTTGAAAGATCCCGCCCTCTTTTTAAAGATCATCTTGAGGTACATCGATGAAGGCGTAATGGAGAAAATGCTCGACATAGTTGATATAATGAAACGCGTGAACGTACGTGTCTCGGATTGCATATTCTGCGCGATCGTAAATGGATTTTCCAAAAAACGCGGGCTTCGAGCCGGAGTACGAGTATTCGAGGACCTCATCTCGCATGGGTGCGAGCCGGGCCAAGTGACTTACGCGTCGGTTCTCAACATGTATCTTCGGCTCGGGTTGTACTCCAAGGGCGAAAAAGTCTTTTCAGAAATGGAACAAAAGGGGTACCACAATTGTGTGGTGGCGTACTCGAGCATGGTGGCTGCATATAGCAAGGCGGGAAATGTTCGGGAAGCGATGCGGCTTGTGGCGAAGATGAAGCAGAGAGGGATCGAGCCGAATGTGTGGATTTACAACTCGATCCTCGATATGAATGGAAAGGCCATGAACTTGAGGCAAGTGGAGAAAACATGGAAGGAGATGAAGAGGAGGAAGATCACGCCCGACCAAATAAGTTACACGACGGTTATTGGGGCGTACAACCGGGCACGCGAGTTGGACATGTGCGTAAAGTATTACGAGGAGTTCAAGATGACGGGCGGGAAAATCGACCGGGCCATGGCGGGGATTATGGTCGCGGTTTTTTCGAAGACGAATAGGGTGGATGAGATAGTTGAGCTTTTGGGGGATATGAAGAGTCAAGGAACGAAAATGGATGACCGGTTTTATAGGTCGGCTATGAATGCCTTGAGGGACGCCGGTCTTCAGGTGCAGGCTAGGTGGCTCGAGGAGATGTTCAGGTCTTCTTGATTTTTATGTTTTATTTTTGGGTTTTGATAATTTAGGATTTGGTGTAGGAATTTGGTCATATTGAGTTCGAATTACATGAAATGAAAGAAAGTAATGTGCTTGTGAAATTTGATGAAAAATATTTGATTAAACGACATCCCCTAAACAGTAAACACCTGTAAGAACAACCTATAACTAGCCTTCATTCATCACATGATATAGCTAGTAAGGGAGAAGTCTGGACATTAGGTACAAGCTGAAGCTCCTCTTGACCACATTATTTTTCATCCTCTCCATATTTTTGTTGACTTTAGATTTGTATATGGCAATAACCGGCTCGATATCTGATTTTCTGAGGCTCTCACGCGGCCACAAACGAAACAGAATTTGTATTGGCCGTCAAGAGGAGTGACAGATGGGACCCGAGTGAGAAAGGAATGGCCTCGTCCACGAGTTACCTCCAATATGGCGTCATAAGCCATGTTGGATGGAGGCTACACAGTCCCGACTCAGAAAATCCCAACACAAGTATCGATTTAAAATGTGGACCCATTCTCCACGAAGCAAAAACCCTCGATCCAAAAGCCATGAGTTGGGTCGGGGAAGATATTTTGTTCCCCTGAATTTAACAA